AGTGGAATACTACACTGCATTGAAAAACAAGGAACTCATGCAATACTATTCAAAATGGGTGACCCTGGAGGACATTATGCTGAGTGAAGTATCTCAGTCTCAAAAGGACAAATACTGCATGGTGCCACTGTTGTAAAATAGGACTGACCTCGGGGTTGGGGGGAGACTGAGAAAGATGGGTTCAATAATATATACTGCATTGGAACAGATAAGGGAGAAAACTGTTTAAAAGGGATATGTGATTAGGTATTTCTGTCATGACAGGAGTCCAGAGCAAAGGCTGCGTAGTGGAGTGGACCTGGGGGAGGGTTTGTAAAACAATGAAAGAATTTTTTTACTTTTCCAAGAGGGTACTGTACTAGGGGGAAGGGTTGGGAGGGGAGCAAAGTGCAACAATGAATGAATGGAAACCCAAAGTCTCTGTAAATTTTCATTGAAATTAATAATAAATTTTTTTAAAAGATTGAAATCACAACATATTTGACTATTAAAATAGTTTGCGGCATGAAAAAGTAAGTTCATACTAAAAAAAAAAAAAGAGTCCTCTCTCTAACATTAACAGACTAGTCAAAGGATCTCTGGTGGGTTCTCACTGCTGTTGATTGCCTCTGAGTCGAACACAACTCATAGCAACTCCATGAACAGAAGGCCTGAAGCCTTTCTGTAACTACAGACATTTATCAAGTTCATAGTTTCCAGAGGCATGTTGTTAAGGAAGTGGATGCCACTCCCGCTTCCAAACCTGGGGGCTTAGTGGTAAGGAACTGTGCTAACCATCCCAAAAGCACACAGTTCAAGTCCATGGGCAATCTCCTCCCGAGCAATTTACTCTCTCTGAAAACCCTCTGGGAACTCTGGTGGCCTAGTGGCAAGAAGCTGCATTGCAATTCCAGAGGTGCATGGTTTGAATCCACCAAATGCTCTGCTGGACAAGGAGGGACAATCTCCTCCTGTACCAGTCAAATCCGATTTGACAGTACACACATTAAAGAAAAAAAAAGAGAACCCTCTGAAGTTGGGTTGGTTCTGACTCAATGATACACCCCAACAACAGAATTTTAATTGAACTTCATTTCCCTATAGAACCATTTTAAATACAAGATCATGCTTCTATCTGCAAATCTAAGGCCATCTACAACTTCTCTGATGGTGATGTGTATCAGTGTCACGAGGAAGATTAATGACATCAAGCCTTGAAGTGTCCCCCAAGGACCAGCCTAGAGAAATGCAGGCTAGGAGCGCAAATCCGAGAACAAAGGTGAACTTGGAAACCATGCAGGCAAGAAGGGAATGGAAGGACATATATCAAACACTCAAAGAATACAACTGTCAACCAAGAATACTGTAGCCAGCAAAATTATCCATCAAATATGAAGGACAGATCAAGATGATATTCCCAGAAAAGCAAAACCTAAGAGAGTTTGTAAAAACAAGACCAGCACTGC